GGTTTTCCAATACTTTTTAGTCTTTATATAATAGAAGTATTTAAATCAAATGCGTTTGAACAAATACTTAGAATTGGCTTTGGGCTTCGAAGCAACTTTTTATTTATTTTCCCTAGAATTTCATTACCCTCCAAATTTTCAAATTTCTTTTCTATTTTCCTGCCTGTTTTCTTTCCCTAGCATTTGTCTGAGTTCCTGAGGACCCTTATAAGTGTATTAGATGGACGGAAAATGGTCATAAATTAACCTATCATTTTATTTATTTATTGATTTATGTACTTATGTTTCCATCATTTGCAATGGAGCCAATGGTTCATTATCTTTTGGCTTGAGAATATGATGGAATAAAGCAAAATGGATCACTAAACTGTCTGCGCTTCTTTGTTATGAAGCAGCAAACAGTCCATGCAATTTTGGACACGATTTTCACTATGGGTCATCCGGAAACAGTCTCTCTGTGCTTTAGTACAGGGGTAAGACTGCATACATCCGACCCCCCCTTACCCCACCGTAAGTGGGAGCCTTTGTGGCACTGGGGTAAATGAAAATGAAATGATTGATTTATGTACTTATATATTTTTATTATAATTCGTGAAGCACTTCTCCAATGCTGGATTTCCTTGCCCAATCATGCAAAGTCCATCTGACCACTTTCTCCGAGCAATAAACACAGACTTTGACAGGATTATATCAACGTGCAAAAATTGGCAGGTTTGTAATTTATATTTTAAATTTTCCAAATAAAAGCAAGATTTGTTTGAGTATGTATGTGAATAAATGAAATGGACAGGATGAGCATGCGGATTTGTCTGCAGTGAACATGGACACGGCTGTTGCAATACAAACACTTGAAGTAACATATAAAAGTTCAGATTCTGCTGCTTCCACTGAAAGCATGATAGTGAAGCTCACTGAAAAGGTATTTTTGTTATCAAGAATCATGCCATTTATTATTTATTATATTTTATTTATTCAAATGCATTTTATCCTCTTTTTGATGCAACAGGAAGGCCCATTTCTCAAAAGAAAGGGAGGGGCGAGTACTGCAACTCGTATTGTAATATTGACTTGGAGATCTGTGTTGATAATGTCAAGAGAGTGGAAATATTACTGGCTTAGGCTATTTCTCTTTACTCTTCTAGCTCTCTCTATAGGCACTGCATTCTCAGGACTTGGACATTCCTTGTCATCTGTTGGGGTATGTATGTGCTAATAAAGCAAGAAACTTGACTCCTTGATATTATTCTCTTTTGTACTAGAAAAACTATAACCCATTTTTCTTGTTTTTAAGATTTTTTATCTTTCATATTTTGCTGCACACATGACCACATTATTTATTGTCATTGACTCATTGCAGACAAGAGTTGCAGCAATATTTTTGTTCATATCATTGTCTTCTCTTCTAAACATAGCTGCTGTACCTTGTCTGATAAAAGAAATTAAGGTAATGTTTGTGGTTATGGACGTTCCCGAGTAGATTTTTTACTTACTGTTCATACAATTACTTCTTTCCCAATAGAAGTTAAAAAAGTTAAATGAAGCTACATCCTCATTTAACTTTCCCAAAAAGGCCAAACAAGTTAAAAGTGATATATTTAACAAAACAAAACAAATAAATGGAAAAAATATAAGTATGATTCACTACTGATTGTTAGGAATTAACGCACTCAACACGAAGAACAATAAAGAAGAATACACGAAATTTGGTAACCCAGTTCGCCACAAAGGACTACGTTTGGGGATGCTACCAAGCCAGGAATGTTATTTATTTCGGATCAAGTGATTATAAGGGGGAGAGCTTGTATTTATAGAGAGTAAAACTTAACCCCTAAAATAACTAGGACATGCGAGGGCCCACATCTGTACGGCCCAAACTGTACGGAACTGTACGGAAACTCGCTGCTCCTCAGAAACGGACCAAAAATTTTGACGGATAGGGCTTGGTTATAGAGTCTCGACGGATAGAGCTTGGTTATACAGTCTCTAACACCTTACACTGATAAGAGTTGTACCTTAACAACATTAAAAAGATTTAGCATGTTTTGTGAGTTATTGGGGCTTAAGCATAACTAAACTTCTGTTTTATATTTTTTTCTTTATATAAATGATATTGTGCAGATATATAGGAGTGAAGTTTCAAACCAGCATTCCAGGGCTTCAGTTTTCTTGCTTGCACAACTTATCTCTAGCATTCCGTTCCTGTTCCTCATATCCATTTCATCAAGTCTCATCTTTTATTTCATCGTCGGGTTGCGTGATGAGTTCAACCTGCTGATGTACTTTGTGTTCAACTTCTTCATGTGCCTCTTAGTAAATGAAGGAATGGTTTTGGTTTTTGCTTCCATCTGGCAAGACATATTCTTGACCACAATAACTTTGGTGTCAACACACGTGAGTTTTTATTTCTGCTATAAAATTTCACATGTTCATTGAATTATCATGTCATGGTAGTGCTCCATAGTTGTCTTGGGATTACTCTGCTGGGTCATATAATATGCATTGTATTGTTCTTTCAGGTGGTCATGATGATTTCTGCTGGTTATTATAGAATTCGGAGTGATTTGCCAAGACCAGTATGGATGTATCCTGTGTCCTATTTGGCATTTCATACTTACTCTCTCCAGGCAAGTTTGGAAATCCATACTCTACTTTTTACGTTCGGATAGAGTGAACTTGAGTAAACATGACGAACTTGAGTGAGCATAGGTTCTTAGTAAAAACTGAGTCAATCTAGATGAAAACTTATGCTTATATCAAATGTTATCCCGATAATTGTTAGGGGGAATTTGACTTTGCACCCCATGTTTTAGGCGATATTAGACTTTGCACCCCATATTCAAAATCATTAATATTTCCACCCCATTAGCTCAAAATTGTGAAGGAGTGGGGTGCAAAGTCAAATGATTATATAGTGAAACAGGGTGCAAATATTAATGATTTTGAAAATGGGGTGCAAAGTCCAATATCAACTAAAACATGGGGTGCAAAATCAGCTAAAAAAGTTTGTTTTCGGATGGAGCTTCTGCTAGGTAAACATAATAAAGTACTTAGGGGGTGTTTGGAAATGATTCTGCTTCTGCTTTTTTTAAAAAGCAGAAACAGAATCAGAATCAGTTTTCAGAAGCTGGTACCCCCCAGCTTCTAAAAAAACTGATTCTGGGAGTAAATTAGAGCACCAGAGGTGCTTCTGGAATTTCACCGAAACACTCCAGCTTCTACTTCTGCTCCCTGAAGGAGTAGAATCAGGTTTGAGAATCAGATCCAAACACCCCCTTATAAAGATAGCTTACGAAAACCTTTGTTTCGAAGGTTAAGCCTCAGTAGCTGATGGAATAGGAACTAGGCGCCTAGCATCTGGTATTGAAATTATATCAGGCTTACCCGGCCCGGGTACCAGGATGTACATATATATTTGTTTAAACTGTACAAACTGATTAATTACATACATAGGCTTGGGAAGAAAACCCGGACAGTGGACGCCCAACTGGAGCCTAGTGCTCAGACATTTCAGTGCATTTTACATCCACCAAACGGGCTCACAGATTTAATTTCTGCGTTTTCAGGGACTCCTGGAGAATGAGTACCTAGGAACTTCTTTTGCAGTAGGGTCGGAGAAAAAGTTATCTGGCTATGAGGCTCTTAGGACTGTATACCACATATCTGATGATGCTCATGCGAAATGGGAAAATGTGCTAGTCCTATTTGTCATGGCTTTTGCATATCGTGTACTTGTTTTCATTTTACTCCATTTTTTTGTCAAGAAAAACATCTCTGTACATAGACTTTTCCCATGCTGGTAAAGGCTAGTAGGCTATCATCATAGATTTTTTGAACATTAGTTCTTTGGATTTTGTTGCTTTCACTACATTTTGAACATAATTTGATGGGGGAAAGAAAATATATACAGGAAATGAGAAAATACAGTGACAACCAACAAATTCTTCTGCATACAACTTCAATGGCTTTCACAACTACAATACACAAATTAAACAATGGGAAGAGTGAGATTTAGGCTTCTCTTAAACCGTTTCACAATGAACAAATATAAAAACATACACCAATTTGTACATAAATTTGAATGAGGCCCGAACCGATCGGTTCTGGTTCCTTACCACCTAAGACCTTGATTAGAGCCTTTGCAAAGAGGTCCAGATTCCAGTTCAGGTTTGACGGTTCCAGATATTTTTTTCGGTTGGGAGATTATTCACACTGTACTTTTTAGGCTGTTGTAGTTCCGAATTCGGTACGAGAACAGTTGACTCCAATCCATGATAGAATTGTAACCAAAACCTTATAAATAAAATTTTGGTTCTAGGAGTGGGGTTTTGATTAAAGAATAGAACCGTGTCCACCCCTAATATGAATAGTGGTCAACACATCCGAGATAAATTGATCCAAATTTTTCTGAGAGGACCCATTTTTGTTCAATGCATCATCCATTGTCTTCTTCACTTTCTTCACTGCATTCCTTAGCTGTTCACTTGATTTCCCACCCATCAATTGCTTGATTTTCTCTGCTATTTCCAACTTTGAGATTGGCTTCTTGTCACATAGATCCATCCCAATTTTCAAATCATCCACAATCAGTTTCCTGTTAGTGAATTGATCAGTAAGGAGAGGGAAGCAAAGTAATGGCACCTCACACCAAATGCTTTCCAGAGTTGAGTTCCAACCACAATGAGTTAAGAAACCTCCCACGGCTGGGTGGGTCAAAACCTGCTTTTGATTGCACCACGGTATGATCAGTCCACAATCGCTAACCTCCTCTATGATATCTCCGGGCAACGGGTTTGAATCGTTCGAGCTCACCATATCAGGTCGAAGCGCCCAAATGAAATTTTCCTGGCTAAGTGATAGTCCATACGCTATCTCAAGAATTTCATATTTTGACAAATGTGCATAGCTGCCAAATGAGACGTACAAAACCGAGCCATGTGGCTTGGAGTTGAGCCACTGGCTGCAATCGAACTCCGACCATAGGCTCGTCGCAACTTGTGGATTCGAGGAGAAAGAAGGCGGGAAGATGGGGCCAGTCGCGAAAAACTTTATCTTTTCTTGGAGAGCAACAATGGTGTGGTGCTCTAGTTCTTCAATAGTGTTGCACAGTACAAAATCTGCATGGTCTCTAGCATCAGCAAAGGCAGTATCAATGATTTGGTGAGACACCGTTGTTGTGTCTGTTTCTTGGATGTATGACATTAAATCCTTAGGCTGGATCGATCCAACTCCAGGCACGTAGTCAATCTCGTCCTTCCTCACATCTGATGGTGTTACAAAATTCAAGGTTAGTACGTACTACAATAATATCAATTTTGGTTCTTTTCCATTCTCGAGTTTAAAATTGTAATTATTTTTCCAAGTTTGACACTAGTTGAATTGTAATTCTTAAGAGATATTTATGTGCACCAATACATTAGCTATTGAGTACGGAACATTATACATTCTCCCCACTAAATATTACGACGCGATAGTTCGTCTAAACTCAATCCCAACCCAAAAAGGTGAAATCCCTCACTCCAAATGCCCCACACTCCAACGCTACAGAATAATGGAGTAAATCACATCATGATATTAAACAATGATTATTCTCATTGAGGTGGTTCAGTGACTGGTGTGCGCAATGAGCCACCTCAAACATTCATGTTGCCGCTGTCAGCGGTTGAACGTGAGATCACAATTCAACTATCTCACTCAGCAACAATTGATGTACTTGTGCATGTTATTATTTGTTTAAACTCATCAAATTAAACTTTTATTGTTAATTTATTTGACCATCTTTATGATAAATGATAGTTATTGAATAAAATAGAGCATTATTATTGTTAAAGAAGTATTGCAACTTTTGCAAGCATGATTCCTTCCGTTTATGAGAGGTGTACAGTGTACGTTACATATAAAATTGAAGTTAAATTCATCAGGATTATTCATGTCACGCAAACAAAAATTCATGAGGATTACATACCAAATTAACTGAAATTTGATATGTATAAACTAGATTTGATTAGTAACATGCACACAAAAATTTAGCAAAAAATACTTTCGGGAACCGCCCCGAAATGCGGAGGCCGGACGGCGCTCCGGTCAGGAAATTCCTATTACTCTAAATTCATATACTCATATTGGAGTTGAAACTGTTAGTATGATATCATTTAAATTTAGGAACCAAAATGATGTAAGTGTATGTACTATTTGCTTGAGTCATGATCATATCAACAAGTCACTGGTTACTGATGCCCACATGGCATGTCGAACCATTTAAGAAATAATGACAAATTATGACATGTCACATACACATACTAAAAGTTCCTGACTTCGAACCATTTAGGCTATGTTTGGCGGGCATAAGTCCCTGACTTCTAGTTTTTTTACTGTTCAAAAAGTTCCTAAAAGCTTCTAGTTGTGTGTTTGACATGACAATATTTAAGAGCTTTTCAAAAATTAAAATATCTTTTTTGAGATGCTACCGGGAGTAGCATCTAAGAAAAGATAGTGACTTTTAGTATTAATTAATCCTAACAGCTTGTATACCAAACCGAACTAAATCAAACAGTCAGCTTTTCATCAAACAGCTACCACCTTTTATTTTTAAGATCTTTTCAGTCACTAAAAGTTAACAGCTATTAAAAAGCTCACAAAAGTATCTTTTCAGCTAGTTGTGCCAAACATGCCTAAGTATATAATCGTTTTTCAATGTATACACAGTGCAACTTCCGTACATAATAATGATCACTAATTAAATTAAATGAGTATTTTTCTTCATAGGAACTAAAAAAGGAATGTGCCTTATTGGATGTATTAAGATGCACGAAATGATCCTTATTTGGCGAATTAGGATATATTGTACTCTCTCCATTTCAAATTTAGTCACAAAATTGATTGTTTTGGGTCAAATAAAGTCATTTTAGTCACTTAATTACAATATCAGTTCTTAATTAAATTTAAATTTACATTTTGCAACTTTGTAGATATTTTAATCTAGTTTTCGAATATGTAAATTTTAATTATTAAAATTGAATTAATTATCAATATTGAAGATTTAACTTTAACATTGGTTGACCAAAAAATGTTAACTTTGCAAAATAATTTGAATTGGAGGTAGTACATAGTATCAGACATTAACTGCTAAATCAGCTCCGGTTCTATGTCAGTTCTCATCCGGGTTATGGTGTTGTTTGGTATTGGGCGGGTGGGGTGGAACTGCTGTTTTTTAATACGGGAAAACGCTGGTAAATCCAGTGTTTTAGGTGGAATCCGCTGATAAACAAACATCCCCTATGTTTCTATTACTTAGACTATATTAAAAAAATCTAAAAAAATTAATAAATCAGAAATGAAATCAACATTGATTGATCAATCGTGAATTTGTGATCGTACTACCTCAGTCCTTAAAAAAGTAAAACATATTTGCACAATCAGACTCGGTCGAGAAGCGTAAAACAAACCACTAATTCATTTATTTGACCTTCCAGTCCTTCCTATTCATGTTCTATTGTTGTTCACTTCTTAGGGAACGAGAACGGTCTCCATGGCTACATGCCTAGCATATATACACAGTTATTTTATACTATGTATAAAATTAGTGTAAGAATTTAATCCGTCGAGCCGTCTAATAAATTTAGAGACTATGTTCTACATATCAAAATGAGGCTCTGCCGCATATGAACAAAAATAAAACCACAAGTAGTAATCATTCAAAAAGTTTAACAAAATTAATTGTATCAAGTGCTCATACAGAAAAATACGTAGTACATGATTTAAAATAACTAAATATAATTATAATTCTAGCATTTGAATAAAGTTGTCCTCCTTACCATTTTCGATGTAAAATCATCTATCTTTTCCAAATAGTCCGAGCCACTTCCTTCTAATTTTTTAGCAATAATTTTAGCAATTATTTTTTAACAACTTCCGTGTTGTACTGGTGTACGTAGTCCTAGCCACATCCTTCTTTTATTTGTTTACTTGTATATTATATTAGTATTATTTGCTATATAATACTATATAGTAATATTAATAAAGGAAAAAATGCCCCCAAAAAGTGGGGCCCTGTTCTAGAGAACACCCTGCACATGCCAAACGTCGGCTCTGGTCAATGGGAAGGTGGGTGTGGCTCAATAAGTGATCACCCACCCAAGTCTCTCCTAAGAGTGTGTTTGGGAGTTGAGTTTTGGAACGGAGGGGAATGTTGTGGAGGGTTTGTGATCCTCTTTTACATGTTTGGGATTTTATAAAATTCGAGGGGATGGTTTTGAATGGCTTTTGTGACCCTCCGAAACCATCTAAATGCTCAATTTTTTGTTCCCCAATTTGAAGGGTTTAAAGGATTATTAGAAAAATGGTAATTTCAATTAAAAATAAATATCAGTTCAATTATTTGACTTCGTCATATCTCAAAGTGATTTTATTTATAATTCATTCAAAAACTCTCTTCTTCCAAATTTGTTACTCCCAAATACAAAGGACTTCCTCACCCTCCCCCCTTTGCCCTCCAACAACATACCTCCAAAATCTTCCCCTCCCCTTCCCTCCAAACTCCCAAACATACCCTTAGTGAGAGATCTTGATTCAAATTCTCACCTAGGGGAGATGAGAGAGGACTTGCTCACCATGATTATCTCTACCATTATAGTGTATCATCTCAGCGGCCGAGAAGGGAGATAATAGAGGTAACGGGTTTGTGTGGTAGGAAGAGCGGTCTGAAAGGGGCAAATCGTAATAACGACGAAGCTAAGTGAGACCAAATCGTAATTTACCCGTCTAGGGATTTGGAGGGAAGCTCATAGGTTTTAAGATTATGAGAACAAAATAAAAAAACAAATTATACAGAGAATTTAATCGCCATTTTTAAAATTTGTAAGCCTTCTCCTCTTATTGTCCCATGCTAGTGACTGATCGAGTGACTGTCCCCTAGTAAATAATTGCGTACCTTCTAGATGAGTTTAAAAAACAAAATTAATTCAATTCAATGACCAAATTATGTAGGCAAGTGCATAATTAGAAAGTGATGAGATGTTTAACAGAACATCATCTATCATTTAATTTGTCGCTTGTAAACCATCCACCACCTACTTTGGTGACCATTGGAATGAAAATAATTCAGTGATCAATCGATCATTCTATCTCTAACCTCAAGTCACAGTACTTCCTTGTTTAAAAAATTATCAAATGTGCCTATTTAACTGTCTTACAAAATTGTCTTAATTAAAAAGGAGTAAAAATGGTTGCAAATTTCAAAAAAGTATGTCATGTTTGTATTTCCTAAATAGAATTAATTACTTTCATATTTTGGCATTACTCCGTATTAGACATTAAAATGATACAACGGAGCTAGGGGTGGGCAAAAGACCCGGTCCCGTTGGTCCGTTCCGGAATGTTCCGGTTCCGTCCCGAAATTGTCCCGTTATATTTGGGATACATTATTTTTGTCCCGTACCGGTCCCGAACCGTTTTAAAACAAAACGGGACCGGGACAAGTAAAATATATCCCGTTCCGTCCCGTTGTCCCGAATCCAAAATTGTATGTAGTACTTTGTAATAGGTTATTGAGTTTATTAACAACTCATTATGTAATACAAATAATAATAGTTATTCTTTTTTCATAACCCAAATACAAATGATTATTAAATACTAGTTGATTAATAATATAACACCTAAAAAAACTCTAAACTACCTACTATCGCATACTATAAACTATCATCTATCTACAAAAAAAAAGAAATTGATTTTACTCTCAAAGTATTCTTTTATCATTTTATTATAGATTCCTTGATAGATTTTTGTGATAGTTTTTTCTGCTGCAACTTTTGTTTCATGCAGCTAATCTGGTAAGTTGCATTTTTTTCTCACAATTTTCTATATTAGCTATAGCTTTTTTGTCATAGAGTTTTCTTGCGCTAGTTTTTTTTTTAATTTTTTCAAATAGCTTTGTTTTGTTTATGGATTGAAATTGTTTGACTACAATTTTTTGGGATGTCCCGAACCGTCCCGTTTTGTCCCGGTACCGGTTTAAACGGGACAACAAAGGGACAATGTCTTGTCCCGTCCCGTTCCGAACCGTTATTGTAAAACGGGTTCGGGACCGGGACAACCCAATTCTCGTTCCGTCCCGGACCGTGCCCACCCCTAAACGGAGCATTTTCAAATTTTACAACAATTATCTCGCTATTTTGGGAATAAAAATATGACAGACAATTCTATTTAATAATCCAAAACGTTTGTACTCATATTTTAAATTTTTTCCAATCTTTCAATGATGATTGGAGCACATCATTATTATAGAGACTTAATTAAATTATTTTTAAATTATTAGAAGAAAATTTGTGCAAAAATATCCAAAGAAATCATTATACCGGTGAAGTCGATGTATCTCCTTCCTAAATTCTCATAATCTCATAGTCTCAACACTGATACCATAAGATATATGGGGTAAATTTGACTTTGCACCCCATATTTTGGGTGATATTGAACTTTGCACTCCATTTTCAAAATCACTAATGTATGCTCCCCATCAGCTCAAAAATTGTGAAAGAGTGTGGTGCAAACTCAAATGGTTTTGAAATTATGGTTCAAAGTTAAATTCACTCAATGCAAAACATGGGGTGCAAATTCAAATTCGCCCAATTTAAAGAGCTAATTCCATCAATAAGATAAAAAATAGGAAAGAAGCGCAAAAATAGGAGTAGATTTTTAAATTCTCCCAATTAGGAATCTGTTTTCATGCTTGGACAATGATACCCCGGAAGGGTAGGTAGGGTCAGCCACTACACTGCCGCCGGAACTGCCGACCACAATTGCCGCCACCAGTCGTCTCTGCTGTCAGAAATTCGTTGTTGTTTTATATGTTGCTTCCGGTGAACGCGCGCTGCCACTTCCGAACACTGGTCTCAGAGTGCACTGCACCGCCGTCGAAAATCTCTAAAATTCACCCGCCACCAACCTACCACCGTCACTACCGAACTGCCCCGCCACCAACGGACTGGCCCGATTATGCAAGGGATTACGGGGCAATTAATTATACAGAGTATTAATTAACAATATTAGTAGTGTAAGAGGTAGAAAGTTGATGTTTCGTTCTATTTAGAGAATATTTAGCATGCTCGACTCTTATTTAGGGAAAAAGAGTGTTTTATGGTAATTATTTAAAGAGATAATTCGTCAAATAGGAGTAAAACATGAGAGAAGTGCAAAAATAGGAGTAGGGGTTCAAAGTTCCCCAAATATGAGTATATTTTTCTAGCGTGGACAATAAATCAATAATAACGCCGCAGCGCTTTGGGCCAGCCACCACTGCCGCCGGAGCTGCTGCTGGCCGCCGCCACTAACACCAAAATGAGTCGCCACCAACGGACTAATTGAATCATCCAATGATATGGTAAAATTACGGAGTAATTTATTAGGTTAGAGGTATTAGGCGTAGAAAATTAGGAGTAATATTTACTCTTATTTAGAGAAGATTAGTGTTAGACTCTTATTTAGGGAAAAGTGATACTCCATATTATTTACTTCTAGAAATTACTTCAAATTGGACTAAAACTATGACAAAAACTCAAAATAGGACTTGCTTTGTTTTTTATTCCAAAATAGGACCATAGTGGTCCTATTGGAAACATACTCATTTCTTCCTTCCATTCATACCCCTCCTTTAAATATTAGTAAAAGATAGCTAAAAGTTATAATTAAATGTTTAATTCATAATAAATTCGAAAAAATTCAATAATTCGTAGAAAAATAATAAAAAAATTAATAAAATTTTTATAAAATAAAAAATAAGAATTTTTTTTTTTAATTTTTGTTTGAAAATTAATAAAAAATAGTAAAACTCCATAAAAAAAATTAAAAAAAAATATGGATACCTTTCCCACCGCCTGTACTACCTTCCTGAACCACCACCTCCGATCGTTGTAAAAAATGCCACTTTTTTTAAATTCCACAAAAATGGCATATTTCTCTATGATAATGCCAACATTTTTATTCTGTCAACTTGAATCCTTTTGACTTTTGCCAAAAATATGGCATTCATAATTGTTTTGGCATTTTTTTTACCTCGGTGACAGGAGGTGGTGGTACCGCCTCCCTGCACCACCACCTCCGACCGTTAAAAAAAATGCCATATTTCCTACAAACTTCCATTTTTTTCGGAAAATGTCAAAAATATGGCATATTTCTCTTTGAGAATGTCAACATTTTTTTTCTTCCATCTTAAATCATTCTGAATTATGCCAAAAATATGGAATTCATAATAAATTTGGCATTTTTTCCCCAAATGACTAGAGGTGGTGGTGCTGGGGCGGCAGAGGCGGCGGTGACAAAAAAAATTAATTTTTTTTTTAATTTTTTTTTTAATTTTTTTAATTTTTTTTTTAATTTTTTTTTTTAAATTTATTATTATTCAAAATATTTTTATTAATTTTTTGGTATATTTTACGAATTTTTATTATTTTTTGTTATTTTATTATGAATTAAAACATTCCAATAGGTATAAGGGTATATTTGTCCAAGACACACATAATTAGTCCTACGGAAACATAGTTTATTTTTTGGTCCTATTTGTGCAAAGTGAATGACTTTTAGTCCTATTTTGATAATTAACTCTATTTACTTCAGGCGATTGCTTTTATTTGATTAATTTTATTTAAATACTCCGTATAAAATTGAGCAAAAGTTTGAGAAAAGGGAAAAACAAAACGCACCTGTACAACCATAATGGCCATTCAGCTTCAAGAGATGGAGGTGATAATAAAGTGTAAAAACCAAAGCCGGTTCGGTCCAGAAAGATATATAGATCAGACCATATTTCTTGGCCAGTTTCCCAGGGAACACAAAGAAAGTGTCGGCGATCAAGCAGTTGACCGGCGGCGTTGACTTCATGATACCCTTCAGCGCTTCCTCCACGTGGGCAGAATAAACATGCAGAAGGGCAGCCATGAACTGGTCGTGGTTCACCGACCGGTCCCACTCCACCGGAAGGCCGTCGGGAATGGTGACGTAACGGATGTCGAGGCCCTGTTTGCGGCTGCCGGAGAAGATGTCGCCGTCGTCGCCGTCCTGTTTGTTGCTCTTGGAGAGGTGGCGGTGGACGGATTGGGTGTTGATGAAGGTGATGGTGAAACCTTTCTCAGCCAGCTTGCATGCTAAGTGGACGGACGGATTGACGTGGCCTTGTAGAGGAAAACATACTAAAACCGCATGTGGCTTTTGGTCTGGTTTTCTTGAATTAGAAGCCACCATTGGTTTAGGAGTAAGAGGAGGGAGTTTTCATATATAGTTCCAAATGCCACAACTGCCTATATATAGTTATATATACACCTAATATAAGAGTCTAAGACTTAGGATTGGTTTTAATGGACTAAATTTTCTGGTCTAATCTGATCAGTCTAATTTAGTCTGATCTGGTCTGAATTCGTTTGGTTTGATCTGATAAATCTATCAATCATGTGTATCTTATAATTGTTGATGGTTAGTCTGGTCTAGTTAAGTCTGATTTGATCTTTGTAAGTCCGGTCTAGTCTGGTTAAGTCTGTTTGATCTTTTAAGTTCGATTTGGTCTGGTTAAGTCTGATTTGATCTTTTTAAGTCCGGTCTAGTCTGTTCTGGTCTAGTCTAGTCTAGGATTGAATTATTGAAATAAGTGCAACTGAAAACATATCTGTTCCTCGTGTGCGTTGTGCGGCTGTTACAGACAATAACATGTGGTGCTCCGAGGTGCTGATCCAGAAATCTAGGTTGAATTAGCTAGGTTTAAACCTAATTACACTGGGCTTAAACTGAATATCAACGAAGTGAAATACAGTATGAAAATAGAAAAATTCAAAGTTACACTTAACTTTACAATCATTAAAAAATTCAAGTTACAATCAACTTCAGCTCAGCTCACCATAGCTCGCCATAGTCTAATGTAGATTCACCCCTAATTTAATGGCCTAATTGTTGCTGCAATAATGTGCAGTGGTTGGTTTTTGTCTCTAGCCAACTACAACGTACATGTATACCATATCACAATTAATGTTTGTTTGTTTGTTACTACGTATTCACTATCAAACTCTCAATGTAACCATAGGACACTTTCATTAGGCTGTTTGGATCCATCAGGCGTTATCAATCAAGACCGTAAACTAATACTAGTACTTACTTTGTCTCTGAGCTACCAATTGACTTTTTTTTGAATAAAACAAATTATTTTATTCACTTAGTTAGAATATATATTCTTATTTTAATTTTAATTTAATTGGAATTTTACAACTTTATAGTGATTTTAATGTAGTTTCTAAATATGCAAATTTAAAGAGACCGTTAGGGTTGCCGCAAGGTAATCGCTAGATTCGATTAGTCCGCTATCGGCCATTGCCGAGGAGCGGGGCTGGTTTTTCCGACCAATTGTTGGAATTGGAGAGCCTCTCTCTCTAGCGGTCATCTCCCTACGAGTTAGGGTTTCATTTCTTCCGATTTTGTCATCGACGAAGAGCGGCCGTCAGTCGATTTCGGTCGTGCAAGCAGGTCCGGGACCAGGGATGCAGTGCTTTGGCGGCCAGGGCTCGACTTCTGCTGTTGTTTATGGTCGAAGGTCGAGTGTTGACAAACAAAAGGTGGATAAGCTGTGGCCGAGTTTGGTTTCGATTCAGCAGCAAGGGATGTCATCAAAGGAGGATATCGTCGCTAATCAATACAAAAGCATGACTATTGAGGTGGATGAGCGGCGGGCGCATCCCCCTCCTGAGCTGCCGTCATGGATTGCAAGCAAGTCTAGGGTTTGAAAGAAGATGAGTGAACTCTGTTTAATTCTGTTTTATTCTGTTTATGTTTTTCTTTCGAATTGCATGTTGTTTTGGACGTGTTCTTATTTCCTAGCAGAGACATTCTAAAATTTAAGTCAGGTGATGAGAAGTCTGATTTGCCAGTCATTGGCTCAGTTAAGTTCATTACAGGATTAGCGAATATTATTGCTTCTACATAGGTGATAGATTCTAAGTCTAGTTCGAGGGCGGACGACAGACATAAGACTTTTTATCGCTTTGTTTACTTATTTTTCTTTGATTGTATTATCAGCCATGTGACGAACGTTATGTTGATTTAATATATTTGTTGGATTTGACCATAAAAAAAATATATGCATGCAAATTTTAATTATTAAAATTGAAACAATTATCAATAGAAGCCTGAGGGTTAACTTTATAGTAATTGTCCTAAATAAGACTAAAAGTAAGAGAGAAAAGTGTTAGGTGAGTACATCAAATTGGGAGCTATGGAGTAAAGAGTACACAATAATGCAAGTGTGATTCAAAAGTACATAAAATTGAAAAATCGGTGACCTGGTAATAATTAGCGTTTGTACGGTAAACGGTGCAGTCTAACCCTTAGATGTCGCCCACTCCGATTAGTGTCGCTCCCTCAAGATAACCGGCTCTACCCTAGTTTCCTTCTTCACTGGGGAATCTTTCTCTGTCTCTGGCGTGACACCCTCCATTTTCCTCCGAACTCCTTCTGCTTCCGCAACCTTCAAGACTCCTCTTGCCTGCCACCATCTCCGGCCTCCCCACCACACCGACCAACAACAACTTCTGTGACCACCCATACACCGGTCACTAGGGGTGGGCATAAAACCGAACCGATACTAAACCGGCCCATAATGGTACCAAACCGAATATCGGGTATTTAAACGCTTCTATAGATTTTTATCCGAACCAAAACCGTACTGTTTGAAATGGACACGGGATCGGTCCAAGATTTTGAAAACTGAAAAATACTGGACCGGGCCGTTAAAAAATAATGCATTTGAATTTTTTTAAATTTTCTTTCATACAAATAAATATAGTTTTTAGACCAACAATTTTTTTTTACCAAAATATGTATTCATGTGTCACTAAAATAGCTAAATGTGTGTGTTTATATGTATATTATTATTTTTTCTTTTTAGATAATTTTGTGTTATATTTTGGTATGTATTGAAAGAATGCTTAAGTTTTAAAAATCATTAATAACTATTCATTTCTAGTAATGCAGTGTATATGACTTTTTTTTGTATCATGCTTGTGCAATTGCACAATTTAATTAATATGGTTTATATTTTAGCTCTCACGGTTCAACTATAACTTAAATTAGAACAAATATATAACCTAACAAAGAAGAAGAATGTTGAATTTTTCTATTATATTGAACAATTTGATGATATTCTTTTTATATTTTCACATGAACATACTTAGTATATGAAAGATGATATTTATCTCGATCGTGTATCATCTTTTTGCTATACTTTTTCTTAGTTATATTGCACTATTTGTGCATTTGTGAATTTAGTACTACCTATGCAATTTCTTGTATTTATATCAACATTTAATGTGAGTTGGTTGGTGTGATGTTATTTACTAATTGCCAGATTTCTCCAAATTTTTAGCATGTGTTTGACATTATATCGTACCATTTTGTGCCGTTCGGAAATGACATGATATTGAGTGGTTCCATCCTTAAAACCAGACCGTACCAGACCGTTAGAAACCTCACGGATACATTACGGGTTTTACTAACTTCTCGAACCGTTCCGGACCGTGCCCACCCCTACCGGTAACCACAAATTATCCCTCACAAGCTTTCTCCAGCTGGAATCTGGAAAATTTCCACCCTCCTTCACTCCAATAAAACATCTGAGTACTTCGAATAGCTACATAAAATCAAGGCTCCAGTACAGTTAGGGTTTTGTTTGTATGAAAATAGTATTGTTTAACGCATTAATGTTTTAATGCTTTTCAGTTATGTTTCTTTCAAAGTTTTGGGAAACACAGAGCTGGATGGTTTCTAACTGTAAAAACCATTTTTTATTCTGTCATCTAGAAAATGGTTTCCAAAAATCTTGCAGGTTATGATAGCAGAGATGTTTCTTTTCTTATTTTTAGTTATTAGGTTATCATATAAAAACCCTATAATTCATAGGTTTTGGGACCTTAATAAGGTTTCCAGTCATGTAATATTCATAAGTAAAATGCATTTATTAATTAGATTGAAATAGGATATGCATGTCCAAAGTTTACATAGCTTCAAAGGCAGGTATAAATCTCATTACCATGTTATTTTATTATTTCAGTAATATGTTTATTTTTTGGCTAGTCCTCATACACTCAAAGCTGCAAATTTGTTTATTTTTCGGCTAATCATTTTACTCTAAAAGTTGAATATAATTTAATAGCACATGTGATTTCCTTGATCATTTAGAAAAAATAAATTTTTCATTCCTGAAATATTGTATATATATGTACTACACTTTTATTTAAAAAAATTGGCCATCACTAATAAACCTCGCTTTACAATTTTTAGCATAAAATTTATGGTACTTGCACGTCCTTGTGAATTCCCTGTGTCATTATCCCCATGATTTATACCTGCATGAATAAAATAAAGAATAGCCTATCACATTTTGAATTGATTCATGACCATGTTCACCGAAAATTGATTAATAGTCAATAGTAACTTATCAACACTATGCCTTTCATGTCGATTTTAGGGATTGTTAAACTTAATAAACACTACTTTGAACACATAATTTCTATTTGTATACTTTTCAAGAGTTTTAAATCACACTATATACCTTCTATGGTTGAAAAGAACTGCTAATGCCCCCTCCAAAAATGCAGCCCATACATCTCCCTTCCAGAATCCAGAGCAAAACTATGTCGTGTGTTGCTTTGAGGTCCCTCACAATTTGGCACACATTTATACCACATTATTTATGTTCACTTGGCTCTGGATGCTCAACTAATGAAATTGAGTGCATATATATACTACGATTTCAAAGCAGCTCTGTGTATGTAGAACAAATTACCCATTGGTAAGGTGCATTTGCTTTTAAGTTTTACTGATGTGATTTTTGAATTGACATGCACAGGGCTCAATACTTTCATACCTAAGAATCTGACCAAAGTAGATATGGTTTGTTATGTGCAACCCATGGACTTCTCATACGATTTTACCATTTAATATTCCTTAGACAAAAGAGTATTAATAACCGTGTAAAGCTCGACAATAAATGTAACTTTTATTGAACAGTAAGAGAGAGGATAATAAATCAGTTCTCATCTAAGCTATTTTCTACCATAGTACAATCCATTTAATGTTTTTGAGGCTCAAGACTGCATGAAGGCAACAACCATCGAGCTGGAAAAGAGAAAAAAGTGTACCCATTAAGACTTTCAAAGAAAACATTAAATGCATTGTCTTGAGCCACACAACTGAAATATTGAATATTGAGCCAACATTAAAAACAACATTGGGCCAGCAAATGACCCATTTCACACCCATGTAAAACTTACTCAGC